GAACAGTCAGGCAGGTTTATCATATATGTTCTGTTTCCTATGGCGGTACATCAACGCAAACAAACAAAATTACCCCCTATGTCTTAAAACAGTCAATTATGTCTTAATTCTCTATAAAACTATTACCCCCTAAAACGCCTGAATTATGTATTAGGTTCCTCAACAACAACAACGATCTATAAGTACTAAACACTAAGTCATCACCAAACTAATACTTTTTAAAACTACGAGAGGAATTTTTTTGTCACGTTTTGCTAAAATTATTATACACCAAGTGGAGGCAGCCGGGGGGGGGGCGGGTGGGGGGGGTAGAGGCAGCCGTGGTGTGGTGGGCAGTACACTCATCTGTTAGCTAAATCATCCGGAACCAAATTCCTGAAGTTCTGTAAGAAGATTTTTCTCTACGTGAGTGTGAGAACGTCTCTAACTATCTCCCTATTCCAGGTTAAGAAGCTGTACAAGATGGCATCCAAATTATACTGAGACTATACAGTGATTAGATACGGTCTCTTATCCACATCAACTGAGCAGGTGATGAAGGGAACAGGGTGGGTGCTGGGGTGGATAACGAGGTGGGTGACAGGTGGGAGACTGGATGGATGACGGGGTGGGTGACAGGTGGGAGACTGGATGGATGACGGGGTGGGTGACAAGATGGGAGACTGGGTGGGTGACAGGATAGATGACGGGATGGATGACAGGTTGGGTGAGGGGGTGGATAACTGGGTGGGTGACAGGGTGAGAGACTGGGTGGGTGACGGGATGGTTGACGGGGTGAGTGATGGGGAATAGGTGGGTGACAGGGGGGGGGGATAGATGAAGGACTATTATTTGAAAACAAAAATCCTAGGGCCGAACTGAGGGTACAAATGAGCTTGGAGTCCTAGGGCCGGACTAGGGGTAAAAAATGGGAGTGGGTTATATCCTGGGAACGAGCTAATGCTACAAATGAGCTGGGAATCCTAGGGCCGCAGGATCTGGACTAAGGGGATGAGAAGTCCTAGGGCCGACTTTGAATACATATGAGGTGTCGAATGAGGAATTTTGTGATTCACTTGTTTCTACTTAATTCACGACCATAATTTTAACTTTTTTTTTTACTTTATTTTACTTCAATTTGCAGGCGATTTACTTTTTATTCATAATCTCCTACGGTTAATTACCCTTATATATCAGCAAGATAGGAATTACTCTCTCCTAATTCTCCCCGGCCACAGGCAGTTATCAGACACCAGGTGATGTAACAAGGGTCAGTTTAAGTGATATATATATATATATATATAAAACCTTTTTTTTATTAATAATTTCAATAATTCTTTGAGTTAACTAATTCTATTTTCTTGCTTCCTCAATAAGATAAAAAAAATATCAAATTCATACAAAAAATACCTAAAAAATAACAGAAAGATATTTATTTTAACTATAGATTATGAATCAAGGTTTAGCCTGTGTTTAATAGCTATTTATAAACACTCAGAATAATAGATAGTTATATAGTAGTCTTCTGTTAATACCCAGTCAATCAATCAGAGTACCGTCCACATATCTGAGGGTTGGCGACCACAGTCCTCCACTCCCAATAATTAAAACCCTTGGCAGTCGAAGTGGCAGACATTAATGTTATTAGTTGCAGTAGAGTCTCGGTGTAATATTGAAGACATCTTGTTATTTTATTTTGATACATAAATAGACCGGTTAAATGAGTTCGAATCAGAGCGATGAGGAGGCACGGACTGGCTAATCCCATGCACCATCCCCTATCAACATCGTCCCAATCCTACCTAAAGGAAATATCCCGTGGCGATTATTTTTAGCTCTTGGGGTCGTTTGTCTCCGGCCAGAGCTAATAACTACGGGTAAAAACGTCCCCATTATCTCAAGCTAAATCTCTACCTTTTTGGCTCTCACCTCAGTAAATATGACTGTTGTTGTTGTTGTTGTTGTTGTTGTTGTGCTTCTTACAGTGATATTGTGGGGTTTAATTGACCTCCTAACACCTGCTGGTTCAGGTGTTGTGTGAGGGTACCAAGAGAGAGAGAGAGAGAGAGAGAGAGAGAGAGAGAGAGAGGGGGGGGATAATGAAAGAGATAGAGAGAAAGAGAGATAGTGAAAAAGAGAGAGATACCAAGAAAGAAAGAAAGAAAGAAAGAAAGGTCTACTGTGGCGTAGGTCTAGACATGATAGAGAGTGACCGGGTCTATATGGTAACCCCCGAATAAGGAAGATTTATTTTACTTAAAGAGTTTTGACGTGATTAGAGTGGTCGGCTCATGTCAGATCACCTTAAAAGAAGAGTTAATTTAATTTAGAGTCTTGACATGACCAGAGCAACAGACTATGACCCTTAAGGCTTGACATGACCAGAACAACAGACTATGACCCTTAAGGCTTGACATGACCAGAACAACAGACTATGACCCTTGACCCATGACATGACCAGAGCAACAGACTATGACCCTTAAACCTTGACATGACCAGAGCAACAGACTATGACCCTTAAACCTTGACATGACCAGAGCAACAGACTATGACCAGAGCAACAGACTATGACCCTTAAGCCTTGACATGACCAGAACAACAGACTATGACCCTTAAACCTTGACATGACCAGAACAACAGACTATGACCCTTAAACCTTGACATGACCAGAGCAACAGACTATGACCCTTAAGGCTTGACATGACCAGAGCAACAGACTATGACCCTTAAGGCTTGACATGACCAGAGCAACAGACTATGACCCTTAAGCCTTGACATGACCAGAACAACAGACTATGACCCTTAAACCTTGACATGACCAGAACAACAGACTATGACCCTTGACCCATGACATGACAATTAAGAGAGACCCTCCCTATGGCATTAATATAACTAACACAACGACGCTACCCGACACATGTACGTGGCCTCGGGGTCGAACGCATGTCCATTGGCGTTCCATGAGAGGTTTAACCAATACTGGGTTTGTTTTGAGGCCGAAGCTTCATATGGGTTTGTTTTGAGGCCGAAGCTTCATATGGGTTTGTTTTGAGGCCGAAGCTTCATATGGGTTTGTTTTGAGGCCGAAGCTTCATATGGGTTTGTTTTGAGGCCGAAGCTTCATATGGGTTTGTTTTGAGGCCGAAGCTTCATATGGGTTTGTTTTGAGGCCGAAGCTTCATATGGGTTTGTTTTGAGGCCGAAACTTCACATGGGTTTGTTTTGAGGCCGAAGCTACATATGGGTTTGTTTTGAAGCCGAGGATTGTGTGGTTTTGTTGTGAGATCGAGGATGATTCGTATACATAGGTGATGGGCCCTCAGTGTATAGTGGCTGAAGCATGCAGTGACGGTGATCCATAAACACATAGGGATAAAATACGTGTTTGTTGTGCGGTAGGTGATTAGTGATGTATATACAGTAAGGTTCTTCAAGCGGGTAGTTTACGGTAGTGTAGTCTCTAGTCATTAACAATAATGATTTCAGAGAGACAACTTCCAGGTCTTTTTTGGATATATAATAAGAGATAAAGCAAATAAACGAAGAAAATGTAACAAAGGACAAACAGACAGTTACGTCACGATGAAAAAAATGAATGATGTTCGTGTAGTACAGATGTGTTGATGATGACTACAAGACTACAGGACCACATGACCACAGCCCACGTCATCAAGATCTGTTACACCAACACCATACATCAGATTATACCAGTGAACTGACTTTGACTACTAATTATATTCTTCTATATTATCATCAGCAAAATATTATTAAATATAACTTTCTCTCCACCACAAAGGCAATTATATAGTTATAAGTTTCTCTACTGTGATCTTTTCCATAATTTTGTTAGTGACTCCCCCCAAAAAATTTTCTTAAAATTACAATAAACATAGATGGTAAATTTTGGCTGTATGTGTGTTAAAAGGCTATTGTATGTTGAGGCTTTTTCCTTCATGTTCTGTGTATGTTGATGGCCAGATTATATATACAGTAAATTTTCTCTCTTCTGGAGGTAAATAGGTATTTCAAAATTTTCCCTGAGAAGATTTTTCCTGTAGTTTCAGAATAGCCAAATATTTTTTCGTCATAGATGATCTCATAAGCTCATAATAATCTGGAAAAGCGAGATGGTGTTTAATTACAGTTGTTTGTTATAATATGTAAACAGTTGTTCCTTTGTTTAATTAATAACCATAGTCATTCAGTTATTGTTTATCATCGTTGTTGAGTCTGGAGAATATTATCTGCTTGTCTTTGTGTATGAGGAAAATAATATTCTTTATCTGAGGCGACATCACTGATCTGACTCAAATTATAAACCTTCCTTTCAATAAGAAAAAAATTGTGAACAAATCTTCCACAAGGTTAAAAATTAAGAATAAACTGAACCTCTAAAATATCTCTCAGCTCTGAATGTTAGTCGTCTAGTTTCAGACGAACTTGGCTTTTGAACAATTGACAAAGGAAAATGTTTGAAGAAAAACTTATGGAAGCACTGAATTTGCATGTTGTGGATTTTTTCGGTAAGCACTGTGGAAAGTTCTTGTTTTCACCAACTGACGTCAAACAGATTTGATCTTGAACAGGTAGAACTAAAAAGGTGTTTGGTCAGTGTTTATGTGAATTCTTAAAAAAAATTATTTAATTTTTCACAACGAACATTTAGCCGTGTATAGTAGTCATCTCTTCAGTTATAATACTTTTAACACATCTTAATATATTATCTCATAGTGTTATTGATAATATCCAAATGCTGATCCGTCTAGTGGGCACTGCGTCAATGAAACAGGTAAATATTTTTCCACGTGCTTACAGTGAATTTATCTCTGAAGAAACAAAATTATTAATACATCTTGAAACCATAGTTTTACAAATTAATAACAATAGTTTTTCTGACCATCTGCCTTCTGGCCTCTGATTGGCTGAGTGTTGATGACTCTGAGATCACTGAGTGAGACTGTGTTAAGGGTGTCACCTGGGTGGGTCACCTCACTGAGGGGTTATAAATGAAACTAAACTTGTATAAAAAGCCTCGTATATATTATGCGTATATGTTACACAATGTTAAATAATATCAAGATATACACATCGGTCTGTCCTAGAGGTACATTGATTTGCCATTATACGCACATAGGAGAGTCCTATGCGTACATAAAATGGTCTATTGTGTACACAGATTTGTCTATACGTACATAGCTGAAGGCGCATGCACAAGACGGCCCTTGTCGGCACGTACACGGTGGCTAGTGGTAGCTCTGCTGAAATCACTGTTGTTAATAACACACTGGTGAACGGGCGTGGGCGTGTCACCACCCGCGCCTACGCAGGCCCTTATTTAGGGCGTGGGCGGACATGGGCGCTGCACCCCACGTGCCCACGCAACCCCTCACATGGATTGCTCTCTTTGGTTTCACTAGACTGGTGGGCGAACCTGCCGCCCGCCGACTGTCGGGAGCACTGCCGCCCACGCCCGCCAGGCGGTGTGGGCGCCGGGCTGGCCTTGAGCTGTGTCCGGCTACGCCCTGCAGGTTCAGTACTTGGCAGTGTCATCGTAGTAGGCGGGGTACTTGTAGGAGGCGCGGAAGCCCAGCTGGCAGGAGGGGTTGGTCAGGAGCCGCTGAGATTCGAACATGTCGCGCACGTTGGGGAAGCCGCTGTCTCCGCCGCCGCCACCACCGGTCTCCAGCGGCTGCGAGTACCAGGAGCCGTGGGAACGGGAGTAAGCCGCCGCTGCTGCCGCCGCCTGCATGGTCATGCCGCCCACCACGGGCGTGCTACCATTCATGGCCGCACTGCCGCAGGCAGTCATGTCGTCAGTGGCGGCCGAAGGGAAGACCGAGGGAGCCCGGGCGTCCCCATACTGACAGTAGCTCATGGTATCGTAGTACATGTTGGAGCGGTACTGTTGCTGTTGTGCCTCCGTCAGTAGTGCCCCGGGGCTGGCATCTCGCCCTACCACCTCCCGTGACCCCGGCACTAGGGAGTCCACGCTGAAAGATGACCCTACCTCCAGGTAGGATCCCTCGTGAGCTCCACCGCTGGCTGAGGAGGTGGGCAGGCTGGTGGACGGCAGGTGGCCGTGGGCGTGTAAAGGCGGAGTATGGTTATGGAGAGGCGGCGTGTGAGTGTGGGCGTGCAGGGGCGGAGTATGAGCGGCAGCCTTCACCTCTGGAAGACAAGCTGCTGGAAGATCTGGGGAGTCTTGAGGCTCTGTCTTAGGCTGACAGAGGGGCGAGATAGGGGTGCCACCCCCCACCTGCACCCCCTCCCCTTCCTGTTGACCTGTCACCACTGACCGAGGTTGCGGATGCTGTTGTCCAGCCCCTGGCTGCTGTTGTTGTTGCTGTTGTGGTGGTGGTGGTTGTTGTTGGGGCTGCTGTGTGAGGCCCACAGCTGTACCATCAGGTTGTTGTGGTCGTTGGTCACCGTCGGAGCCCGTGGGTGTGTGTTGCTGCTGTTCCTGCTGCCTCTTGAGGATGTCTTCCTTCTCGCGGGTTACGTTGGCGTCCTTCTTCTTGAAGCGCTTGCGACGACGCAGATAGGAGCCGTTGTCGAACATGTTGCGCGCCTCGGGGTCCAGCGTCCAGTAGGATCCCTTACCAGGTTTCTTATCGTCGCGGGGTATCTTGACAAAGCACTCGTTGAGGCTGAGGTTATGCCTAATGGAGTTCTGCCACCCCTGCTTGTTCTCCCGGTAATAAGGGAACCTCTCCATGATGAACTGGTAGATGCCATTCAGGGTGACGCGTTGATCCGGGTTATTCTGAATGGCCATGGTGATGAGGGCGATGTAGGAGTAGGGGGGCTTCACCATGTCCTTGGGAGGAGGGTGCTGCTGGGGGGAGTAGCCGTACGGGTGATAGCGCCCCATGGCGCTGTACCCGTCGTAACAATAGGCGTTAGGGGCCATGGTGGACATCTGCTGCAGTGACGCCGGCGGGTAGGAGGCCGCGGCATGGCGGTAATATGACTGTTGATCGCCAAAGAGGGTGTGCATTTTGACGGGGTAAGCTGACCATTGATCACACATGGCTATACAGCATTCTGGGGCCTACCTCGGCTGAGATAGACTCGGGTGTCCTCCTAGTGAGTAGCAGAGGCGGTGGGAGCCAGGACGGAGGGTGGTGGCTGGGGAGCTGCCACGGCGCCGCGGCACAGACAGTGGCGGGGCCCAACACAACGACGACACTCGGGCGCCACCACTCAGCCCAGCCAGCCTCGGCCTGCTCCGCCACGCACCAGTAACACACACACTGTACCTCACCACACACTTCCTCCACTCTGTATTTTCACTCCACCAGCGTCACCACCGTCGGCCACACACTAGCTAGCGGACACACACCACCACCACTCTTTATTGTCAAGTACAGCGGAAGTGTGCGGGCGGCGGTGGGCGGCAGGAAACGGGCGGTGGACAGGCGGGAGCTGAGCAACAGTAGTAGTCGGAGCACGGGCGTGGCCAGAGCCGTGGGCGCTGTCTACGTGGTGTAATCCCGTCTTATCTGTCCCTCGAGCTTGACCGTCTCAATCACTAGTTAGCCGCACAGCGACCAAGTTCCGTATACAAATCAGGGCACGCTCGTTATCTTTCTTGAGGGCAAAATTCTTGGCTCGTGGCTTGATTAAAATTGTGAAAACACATCGACAGTCTTTTTCTTATGATTCCAACAATGTTAAAGCAAACAGTCCTGTTGCTACTCCAAACACCGCAAGAATTAGTCGCGGCTGCTAAGTCAACAAACGGCCACCACCGCGCCGAGTTACTCTCTGGTTCCGCTCCAAAGGCCGACTGAACTATCTTAAAGTCTAGGAAAATTTACTTTAAGCCAACAGTTTAATCCTTCGCCATGTTATATTTAGGCTCCTCCCATGAGCCTCTCGGCCAATCAACGCGCAGCCCCGCCACCCTCTTGCCAATGAGTGGCCGCCTATTGTCGCTCTCGTCCAATCCGCGGGTGGTTTTGGTGAGTTATGAGTCAAGGCTCCGCCCATTGATATCATATGATTGGTAACTGAGGGGAGCAAATTACTGGGTCCTGCCCCTCGCAATTTTCCCCCTTTAATCTGAGGGGACAATTCCCAAGTCTCAGAGGGTAATTTGGTGCCAACACTTCTAACCCCTCTGCCCGGCACGATAATCCAGCCTAAAGAGATTAGCTCCGGCTCAATAAAAGTTATCCAAACACAGTGGCTTGGTGGGAGGGGAGGGGAGGGGGGAGGGGTTTGAGAGGGGAAGGAAGAGGAGGGAGGGGGATGGGGGAGACTGAGAAAACACACCGGGCCCCAAAACAGGTTTACACAGCGGTTTTAACAAATCCGGCGTAATAAAGTCCACCGGGGCCAGTTGAGGCTAACGGAAGACCTCACCCTGATCACATCCAGTCTTGAACTAGTGGTGCTGGTGGGCGTGCTGGGTGGGCGGTGGGCGGCTGAAGGCGGCGGCGGCGGTGGCAAGCACACATACACACACACATACGTACACACCAACAGACTCTCTCTCTCTCTCTCTCTCTCTCTCTCTCTACAAAGCATAAGGAAGGGATGGAATGGACAGGTCTGGAATCCATGGCAGAACGGGAAGACCTTAAAAAAAAAAATACTACTAAAAAATTAACACCCGTGACATACCCGGGTTTAAGGCAACGGATCGAAATACCTGACATGTCGAGAGAGTTTTTTAAACGAGTCGTAAAAATGAAATTCTCTTCTTAAAAATATCCGGGAAATATCGTCAATAACATAGAGCGTTCCAGAGGCTCCGCCCCTTCCAGCACTCACCGGCCTGGCCCCGCTCACTGTGTTGTCTCTCCTGGCCACCACCACCACCACCACCCTGCACTGTACCTTCACCACTCAGGTTAGTCAACTCCCTAACTATTTACCTTAGAGACAGAAAATACCATTAAATTATTAGGCTATTTAGTATCCTCTTGTTAATACATAAATCGTTGAACTTGAAGATTTGGATATTGTTTAATTAATATTACGATACAATAGTGTGATATTTATTTTAGTAATCTATAAGTGTTTCATGATATAGTGACCCATATTCTGTCTCACTGAGGTTATATTTCTTACGATTAGGTGTAACATAAAAGTCCCTCTTAGCGTCTGGTTTGTTGTGTGAGTACAGCTGCGTCACCATACAGTGTTGCCTGTCGTGGTAAATACCAATGTGTTGCCTGAGTGTTGCTTAGAGTCTCTGCTGTGATTAATATATACGGTAATATAATTCTGTGTTAAACAAGTTCTTGGATAACTCGGTTTAGTAGAATTAAATCTTAAGGTAATCGAGTATAACTAGGATCAGATTCGCCAACTCAATTTGGAATGAAAACACAGGTATACGGTACAGGTGCAGTCAGGTATACAGCACAGGTGCAATCAGGTATATAATACAGGTGCAGTCAGGTATACAGTGCAGGTACAGTCAGGTATATAATACAGGTGCAGTCAGGTATACAGTGCAGGAACAATCAGGTATACAGTACAGGTACATTCAGGTATACATACGGTACAGGTACAAGATAGGTACCGTAATGTTCATGTGGTGACCCTATCATATACTGTAGTTGATGCCTTAAACTACTGTATACGTGAATACAAATGAATCCAAAAAGTTTGTTTCGTAATGACAAAGAATGATAAGAGTCCAATCACCTTAACTAGAAAATTGCGTCGTGAGTGTTGTAAAGTTAGTATCACTAGATATACATGTATACATACAGGCTACTTTTATACGTATATCTATGTAGACAGTACATATATGTATAAATAAACGTCATCTATCTAAATTTCAAAGACTCTGTTCGTGTTTTATCTGGTTTTAGGTTTATCTTTTACCAGGTTTATTTTCACCAAAAAAACTCCCAGGTTTAATTAATTGATTATATAGCCATAGATTATAGATATAAAACGAAACACTATCACAGTCTAGTATGATAGTGTATGATTATAGTGAAGTTAAGGAATAGTGGTTTAACTACCTGGAATAATTATATGATGGTGATATAATTTTTATATTTATTTATATTATTCAAACAGAATGATGATTTATTGTTTATATAGTCGGTAGATGGAAGAATTATATAGATTATATAGCCAAGCTTGATAATGATATAATTTGTATACAAAACATAAGAGATGGAATTTATAATATATAATTTAAACATGGTGGTGATCTATTTCATTTATATAAACATTGTAGATGGAATGATTATAGACAGCTGATATAATCGTGGTAAATGTTTATATAAACCTATGGTAGATGGACTGATAATTATAGACATCTTAGTATAATCGTGATATAGTGTTGTTACCTGTTGAAAAAATAATTTTGATTAATATTTACACACCTGGTATATAAAATAATAAGTATAGTTATGTCAATATAATCTCGGTCGATAATCTAATGCTTGTACCTGAAATAAGAATTATAGATATCTAATATAATACTAATATATATTTTGTTCCATCTTCTAAATACAATACAATTTATCGATAACTTTATATAATCGTCATATATATTTTTACACACATTGTAGATGGAATAATAATAATTATAGACATTTGTATAATATAATAGATAATTAATACATCTGTAGATATAAATAATATAATTTGTAAATATAATAATTATTTTAGAGCTAACCGAACCTAACCTATTCTAACCAAACCTAACCTAACCTAACCTAGCCACACCTGTAGATATCTAAATTATTATAAACAATATAATCATTATATGGCAATTTACACACCTGTAGATAACTGAAATAATAATAAACATGTAACTATCAGGTGTTACTACTGTATCAGGGTCAATAAGCAGCGCTCACTAAGTCAAATATAGGAGATAATTTAATGGGGGAAAATAGAAACCTTCCTTTATCGGTGACAGGAAGAGTAATACTTGGTAATATTCCTCGTCTCTATCAATTACTTGTATTACATAAATTATTACAGGTACGTTACTGTTGTTTTATGTATTATGTAACCTACGTGTATGTGATAATAATAGTGTTAGTGGATTATTTAGGAATTTTATTCAATATAATCCATGGGTATACAATGATAATTTTAGGGGGTATTAATAAATCGTCGATAGTCTCACTAATTAAGACAGGTGTAGGGATGATAATTGATAATTCCACAAAATTATCCACCAATTACCTTAATAATTATTTAGGGATAGTTAATGATTTTACGAGCCGCAGTAAATTATGCTACAGTAAAGGGTAAATAATATCCGGGAACTTCTTTATAAATTATGTCATGTATAGATGAAGGATAATGAGTAATTACCTATAATTTATTTATGATTTAAGGAAGAAGTTATTATTATCATTTATTATTATTTTTTATTATTTATTTTATATTTTTTATTATTATCATTATTATTTATTTTTATTTATTTTATTATTTTCATTATTATTATTATTATTATTATTATTATTATTATTATTATTAATTATTGAAATTGTTATAATTTTCATAATTATCATTATTGGTATTGTTATTATTATCATTAATATTATTATTATATCTTACGTCTCGTATGTCTTACAAATAATGAAACATATTGCGATACAACTTAGTAAGATACTGAAGAGAGGAGGAGGAGAGAACTGGTATGGCAACAATGTCAGTCTTGTACCGGTGTGTTCAGGGTCTATGTGGCAACAATGTCAGTCTTGTACCGGTGTGTTCAGGGTCTATGTGGCATCAATGTCAGTCTTGTACCAGTGTGTTCACGGTCTATGTGGCAACAATGTCAGTCTTGTACCGGTGTGTTCAGGGTCTATGTGGCAACAATGTCAGTCTTGTACCGGTGTGTTCAGGGTCTATGTGACAACAATGTCAGTCTTGTACCGGTGTGTTCAGGGTCTATGGCATCAATGTCAGTCTTGTACCAGTGTGTTCAGGGTCTATGTGCAACAATGTCAGTCTTGTACCGTGTGTTCAGGGTCTATGTGGCAACAATGTCAGTCTTGTACCGGTGTGTTCAGGGTCTATGTGGCAACAATGTCAGTCTTGTACCGGTGTGTTCAGTCTGTGGGGTCTGTGTGTTCAGGGTCTATGTGGCAACAATGTCAGTCTTGTACCAGTGTGTTCAGGGTCTATGTGGCAACAATGTCAGTCTTGTACCGGTGTGTTCAGGGTCTATGTGACAACAATGTCAGTCTTGTACCGGTGTGTTCAGGGTCTATGTGACAACAATGTCAGTCTTGTACCGGTGTGTTCAGGGTCTATGTGACAACAATGTCAGTCTTGTACCAGTGTGTTCAGGGTCTATGTGGCATCAATGTCAGTCTTGTACCGGTGTGTTCAGGGTCTATGTGACAGCAATGTCAGTCTTGTACCGAGTGTGTTCCGGGGTCTATGTACGACAGCAATGTCAGTCTTGTACCGGTGTGTTCAGGGTCTATGTGGCAACAATGTCAGTCTTGTACCGGTGTGTTCAGGGTCTATGTGGCAACAATGTCAGTCTTGTACCAGTGTGTTCAGGGTCTATGTGGCAACAATGTCAATCTTGTACTAGTGTGTTCAGGGTCTATGTGGCATCAATGTCAGTCTTGTACCGGTGTGTTCAGGGTCTATGTGGCAACAATGTCAGTCTTGTACTAGTGTGTTCAGGGTCTATGTGGCATCAATGTCAGTCTTGTACCAGTGTGTTCAGGGTCTATGTGGCATCAATGTCAGTATTGTACCCGTGTGTTCAGGGTCTATGTGGCAACAATGTCAGTCTTGTACCGGTGTGTTCAGGGTCTATGTGGCAACAATGTCAGTCTTGTAC